TCATTGTTATTAAAAGCCCGCGTTGCATGCTGGGAAATATTTTGGTCGGAGGCAAGAAACACGATAGCGGTCAAACACAGTGCGTAACCTCACGTATTTATCCCCGATAATGGTAAATTCCTGCTGCATTATCGGATGCACAAATAGAAGCATGGAAGAAAGAAAATGTCTTTTTCATATTCTGAGTGAAAAGAACCGCTAACGGCGAATTAAACGGCTTTCAAACATTCGCAGAGCAAACGTAGAAGATCCTAACAAACCGTGGACTCCAACAAGTTCAACAACACATCGAGACTCTTGGAGGTTTTCATCTTTTCTGCTGTGAATGGCCCAGGAGTTTCCACCAAGTCATTGTGGATATCGCCGAAGTGAATATTTGGCCAGGTAGTTGGCGATTCCGACCAGAAATTTGGTTTGGTCCACGCTTTGTAGGGGTTGAAAAGGGTGATTTGGCTCCATTGATGCTTATGACCAATTTCTGGTCAAATCGTCTTCGGTCCTCTGTCGTTAGAGTGGATAAATAACCGGGATCAATACCCTTTACGTGCTTTCTCTCTCCGTCCGTCATTTTGAATTAGTGTTTATTGCCGCCAACCAAAATAATTCCCAGCATGCAACGCGTGCTTTTGTCAACAATGAAACTCGCCTATAGTTGTAGTAATCTTGGTGTTCGTCCCCAGAGGAGTTTCCGTGGTCAATCCTCTTTGTCAAAGCCTGATCTCGTCAGATCTCAGAAGCTAAGTAGAGGTGGACCCGGTCAGTATGTGGATGGGAGACCACTGGGAGTACCAGGTCCACACTGGGTGTTCAAGTGGCAAAAAATGCTCTTGTGTCCTTAGGCAAGACACTTCACCCACATTGTGTAGTAAGAAAGTTGTGTGTGTGTGAGTGTTGGTGGTGGTTGTATAGGGGCTGATAGTGCAGATTCTGTGTGTGTGTGTGTGTGTGCGTGAGTGTGTAGACATGACTGGTGTGCTTCCAGCCAAACAGATGGTCACTGTTTAAGGGCACGTGTGGAGAGAACAGTGTTAACATAAGAGGTACTGTATACAACTGTATACTGTACAGTTGTATAAAGTATTCTCTCATTCCATCAGGGTTGTGAAAACTCATAAACTCATCATGGTGAATAATTAGGATGCTCTGAATGCATGAGGTAAGTGATCTTTTGGTGGGGGTGCTGAGACTGTATTATATACCCCGTGAGTTTTCACATATCATCACCATTGCTCTTTACATTCGTCTGAAGTCAGAAGCAGACGCAACTTGTGACGTCATGATTGTGAGTCATTGACGCTATAAATATATATATATATATATATGTGTGTGTGTATGTATGTATATATATATATATATATATATACAGAGGGAGAGAGAGAGGGATTCTTATTTTTTTATGTTAAATCTACTATCATAGTCATATTTTTTATCTAAGGTGCTTTTCTTTGTTGACTGGACAGGTCTATGTGAGCGTGTTAGATAAAAACGTCTGCTAAATACTTGTGTTTAACCATTAACTATAGCGTCAAAGATCACATGCGGTGACCAAAAGAGATTCCTGGTCCTCTACAAAGGGACAGTGAGCTTTCCCTGGGTTAGACAATTCAATTCAAAAATGTTATTGTTAATTTTCATATGAAACATATGAGGAATTGAAATTGTGTTCCTCACTCCCAATCTTCTAAATAAATAACAATAAATGGAGAAGTCCAAGTGTTCTTCTTTGGGGAGATACAGATTCCTGCTTCCTGGCAGCCTGGTGGTTAGAGAGGGGGGAGAGGTCAGCATCCTAACAGCTTGGTGGATGAAGCTGTTGGTGAGTCTAGTGGTGCAGGAAAAGAGGCTCCTGTACCTCCTCCCGGACAGCAGGAGACTGAACAGATTGTGTGCGGGGCGACTTGCAACACTCACAATCAGCAAGACTGGGCTGGAGCCAGATCACCAGGGATGCTCCAGGGGCAACACCTCATGCTACCCAAAGACAGGGAGCCTTCCCTGAATCAAACTAGTCAGGCTGGGCCTTTGGAACCTACCTGGTACTCTGGCTCTGGTGGGGGAGAGTCATGGTTCTTCACACAAGGACAGTGAGCTTTCCCGGGGTTAGACTAGTCAGGCTGAGCCCCTGGGGCCAGAGCACCAGAGATGCTCCAGGGGCCACTCCTGGTGCTACACCCAAAGACAGGGAGCCTTCCCTGGGTCAAATTAGTCAGGCTGTGCTCCTGGAGCCTCCCTGGTACTCTAACTGGGGCCTCCACACAAGACCCGGTGCACCTCCCAAACATGTGCACCCACTCTTAAGCCCCCTCCCTGGCTAAACCAGGGAGAGGTGACTCGGTGGAATTTGGTGACCCTGGTACTCTGCCGGTGACCTAGAACCATTACATTTTGCAATGGATTTTACAACATTCTAGTACGGGGTCATCAAACTAAGGCTCGCGGTCCAAGTCCGGTCCACAATGTCCCTTTGACTGGCCCCTCTATCCTCCACCACTTGAACTGGCCCTATGAGGCAATCCTCAAAACTTGTCGTGGCATTTTTTTTTTTTATTACTTTTTGGCAAATAATAACATGCATCTTGTGTTTTGTTGATTTTTTTTTACATTTGCCGCTGAATTTTTTAACCTGACAAGCTCGAGATCGAACAGTGACTGTCAACGCAAGTGCAGAGTACTGTAGTGCAGGGTACCGTAGTGCAGAGTACTGTAGTACAGAGTCCAGCAAAATGGTGAGTGTTAAAGTACGAAAAGTTGACAGAGAGTGTCGAGTTTCCAGAGAACAGTGGATGACCAATTATTTTTTTGTTCAGTGTGAGAAGTGTGCAGTTTGTGTAATATGTAAAGAAAGAGTTGCGTTTTTCAGAGAATATAATCTGAGTCGTCAGGGTCAAACAATTCTGTTATACTGCCGACCTGACCTGGCCCCCATCACAGTCAGGAGCGATAATGTGGACCCCAGAGAAAAAAGGTTGGTGACCCCTGTTCTAGTAAAACCAGCTGAATCTGATGGCAAAGCCTGTGTAAACTGGTTGAACACATTCTGGAGCATTTCATAGAAACATGAAACAATTTCTGCACCTTATTTGTCTTGATGTCAGAAATAGCCAGTTTCTGGTAAAGGCTTTTCCAAATTAATATTTTTAACACTAGAATGATGGTAACATGTTCAATATTATTCTTTTAAGGATTATCATATGGGTTTAGAGGCCTGAATGATCTTTATACAATATGTAGTTTCATTTCAGAGATATGGACCGCTTTTCATGCAAAAAGTGACCATGACAATAAATATGACATGAAAATGGCCTTAAAATAGGAAGATATTATTGCAATCACATTCCTTTTATCAAGTCAAGCCATTATACAACAACTTAAGACAAAAGTAAGGTGGAATACCACCTTTTCTCTTTTCGGCGAGGGACATTTTGGATTTTCTGTACACCGGCCACTAGGGGGCTGTCCCAACATGTATCCATGGATTTTTTAAAACCTTAGGCCCATACCTAACACCCATCCTGGCTACAGTCAAACTTCCTCCAACTCAACTGCAACAAAACTGAAATAATCATTATCGGCCCCAAAACACTAACCAGAACTCACAATAACTTCACCCTCTCCGTTGATGGCTCCTCAGTCCCCTCCTCCTCCCACCTCCGTAACCTCGGCATCCTCTTTGACCAGACCCTTTCCTTTGAACATCACGTCAAACACATCACCAAAACCTTCTTCTGTTGCCTCCGGAACATTGCTCGCCTCCCTCCATCCCTCTCCCCTCAGTCTGCTGAAACCCTCATCCACGCTATTGTCGCCTCCCATCTCGACTACTGTAATAGCGTGCTCTATGGTTCACCTTCCAAACTCCTCAATAGACTCCAGTACATCCAGAACTCTGCTGCCCGCCTCCTCACCCACACCTCCTCCTGTGAACATCACCCCAGTCCTCAGAGATCTCCACTGGCTCCCCATATCCCAGCACCTCCAGTTCAAACTCCTCACCATTGTGTACAAGTCCCTCCACAACCTGGCCCCCACCTACCTCTCTGAGCTCCTCCACCACCACACCCCCACCCGTGCCCTCCGATCAGCTGACACCAACCTCCTGTCTCCCCCCGCCAGGACTAAACATAAGAGCTGGTGGGACCGGGCCTTCTCTGCTGCTGCACCCTCTGGAACTCCCTGCCCAAACACATCAGAGACTCACCCACACTCCCCATGTTTAAAAAAAAGCCCTGAAAACCCATCTCTTTAAAAAAAAAAAACTTTCATTAACTGTCTTTTTTTCTTGTTTGTCGTTGTCTGTCTTCTCATGTAAAGCGTCTTTGGGTATCTTGAAAAGCACTATACAAGTGTTATGTATTATTATTATTATTAGTATTAAATGTGAATGGGCCCAGGATACTTTGCACTAAAAATGTGGGGATCCAACTCCAAGGTCTAAAATGGTTAAGAAAGGCTGAATAAACTGACTAGGCTCTGTTAGTGTGATTACTTCCTGTCCAATTGTGAATCTATTGGGTTTTTGCTGAGTCATGCTAAAATTAATATAGATTTAAAGATAAGGCAGTGAACAAGGAGCTGTGGATGGATGTCACTGACAGCATGATAAAAGTACATAAATAAATTGAATTCTTCAGCAGATGACACTTCTGCTTTTAGATGTTTCAATACTAACGCTAATGCTAAATTTGAGGCATAATAAATAATAATAAACAATGCCACAAACTGCAATATTCTACGCATAGAAACAATCAGGCAGTCTGGACTTTAATTAATTAGAATTTTAATTGGTTGTTTATTTTATTTATATGAAATATCCAGAAGGTAAATGCCCAAATGTTAACTCTGATAAATTCTAACAGTGACTAGAGCCATGAACTCCCCCCGCCCCTCCCCCCATCTGTATTTAATAAAATGGGCAATAGAATGTTGTGATGTTATGTGAAATCCAACAGTTAGATGATGCATTTGTTTGTAGGAAATGAGAAGAAATCAGATTATGACATTGCAGTTTATTAAGCATCAATCAATCACGGCATAGTTGTTTTCTAATACATAAACAACAACATTTGGAGCTGGAGCCAGGTTCTTTGCGGTGCCCACTGTCTATGTGGTGGCGGGAGGGGCGGTGGTGGTGGTGGTGGCGGTGGCGGCCAATGCTGCCAATGCTGCCAACAGCTGCGCGATGGTCGTTTCGCCGCTGGTGTCAGTTTCCCCAGAAGTTCCATCGCTGTCCCCCGTTTCATCCTATAAGAGATGGGCAACATTCTGAGTGATCCAAGAACAAATACTTAACTTAAGCTAACTAACTTAGCTAACTGAAAGGACTACTCTGTCAGAGAGGTTGGAGAGCTCCTGGTAGTTCCTGAGCAACAGGTGGAGATGTCTTCTTTAACACAGTCTGACTGGAAAGAGCTGACTTGATTAAAACTACAATAGGTGAGCTGATTCGTGCGCTCATATCATGGGTCTATAATAAGAACTGGATAAGACACTCCCCCTCTGTCCACGAGCGAGATCGACTAGTGGCCGCTCCAGGTACTGCAGCTCCCAGGAGCTCCGGCCCAGAAAGAATTCTCCCATAGAAAACAGCATCAAACTGACCGTGTTTGGCTGACAGGGCATCTACAGCTTGAATATAGGATGGATTTTATGAGATTCTTTAGTATTTTTACAATATATTTTATTTTAAATTCTAAGCATCTAAAAGTGTGTGTGTGACTGATGGTGGTGGTTGGAGGAGCCAGAGGTGCAGATTGGCAGCAATCTGTCAGTTTGCCCCAGGGCAGCTATGGCTATAATGTTAGCTTACCACCATCGGGTGTGGAGTGAATGCTCTGTAAAGTGTCTTTGAGTGTCCAAAAAAGCGCTATATAAAACTGATGCATTATGATTATTATTTAAATGGTCACACCACCCCATGTGCTTGCAGGGCAAGAGCAGGTTCAAAGTCATGGTAAATGGTAAATGGTCACATTTTTCTATAGCGCTTTTCCACCTTCAAGGCACTCAAAGCGCTTTACAACAAGGAACCACTCACCCATTCACACACACATTCATACACCAGTGTACGCAGACACTGTGGGCAAGGTGGGTTAAGTGTCTTGCCCAAGGACACAACGGCAGCATTCATCTGTGGGAGCTGGAATCACACCAGCCAACCTGTGGGTCAGTGGATCTGACCACTCAACCTGTGATGTTTATGTCGAGAGCTGGATTCGAACCGCCAACCTTCAGATCAGTGGGCGAATGCTCTACCAACTGAGCTACTGCCGCCCAGTCATCTTCAAAAACTCCTAATTATGATTTTAAAACTCCTAATTATGACTTTTAAATCACGGCCACAAGCTACTTAGCATTAGCCTACAGTTTTTCAGTTCACACTTAAATAGGACCTTGAACATTCATAGTGATCAGAAACTTCTTTTTGTGAGTGTTTGCCAATGTTTGCATTGTATCATCATCAACTGCTGAATATTCTGCCATAAACATACATGCAGAACACCACCAGCATTATGTCACTGTATCAATAGTAAGAGATGAAAGAATAAAGGTTTATGTCTTACACTGGCCAGAGCCACAGACAGGAGACATCCCAGAATAAACACAGCCTTCAGCATGGTTACACACCTGAAAAACAAATGAAACATTTGAAAAGGTGGTTGGGGGTCTGCCACCTGCTTGTTTCTATGGATATGTCATTGTTCTGCCTGGAATGTTCCACAGTATGACATTAAACATCTCTGCCTTACATGTATTCAGTTACAGTCATTCTGACTGTGGGAGGGGTCGCCTCTCCACAGATCTGACCTGTAACTTGGTCTGGTTTGGTCTCCATGAAGATAGAAAGGTTTAATACCATACTGTGAAACAGATAAAGTAATAACATCTTCATGGAGAAAAGCTTTTGACCCTCCACCAGAAAAGTTACACAATGCACCTTTAATGTGCAAAGTTCAAAACAGTGTGTCATTTAGGTAATCTTGTTATAGTAGTTATTTAATATGTGTAGTATTAGTTATTGAATACTACACCAGCTGCAAAGTGTATAATAGTTTCACTGTATGTTAAAAATAAAACCTCTATAATTCTGCATCAGATAAAGTCTCCTCTAATACAAGCAAATACACATTTTAAATGATATCAAATAATAAATATAAATAAATAAAATACCAGTAGTCTTCTCAGTGGATTCCAGTAGAGTAGAGGTGGGTAGAGGTGAGTGATGTCAGTGGAGGCACAGTCCCTTTTTAAAGCAATATCCAGCTCCCATCAGCCAATCAGGTGAGTACGATTGGACATTGCGCTATTCAGAGGAACTGTTGTAATTGGAGAATAATCCTAAATTACTTCACAAATGATGTTGGCTCATTGAGTGGTATTATATTTCATCAATGTTTAATAACTTAAGTTCATAATAAAGCCTCCAAGATTAACAATGAGCTAATGATGTCTTTGTCACAAATTTTGAAATAATAGAAACAACATAATAGAATTAGCATAAACAAATAATTGACAGTCACTTTAAATGGGGCTCTGTATCAGTTTGTGCTGGTTTGTGAGGAGTCAGCAGACATCATGCAGTCTTTATGTCATTGTTCACATCAGTTTGTCTCTGTCCAGTGGCCTCTTTTACCCAGTAGTTGTAGTAATCTTGGTGTTCGTCCCCAGAGGAGTTTCCGTGGTCAATCCTCTTCCGTGGTCAAAGCCTGATCTCGTCAGATCTCAGAAGCTAAGTAGAGCTGGACCTGGTCAGTACTTGAATGGGAGACCACTGGGGGTACCAGGTGCCACAGTGGGTGTTCAGTGGCAAATATGCTCTTGTGTCCTTAGGCAAGATACTTCACCCACATTGTGTAGTAAGAAAGTGGTGTGTGTGTGTGTTTGTGTGAGTGTTTGTGGTGGCCGTAGGGGCTGATGGTGCAGATTGCATACCCGTGTGTGTGTGTCTGTATGTGTGTGCGTGAGTGTGTAGACATGACTGGTGTGCTTCCAGCCAAACAGATGACCACCGTTCAAGGGCACGTGTGGAGAGAACAGTGTTAACATAAGAGGTACTGTATACAACTGTATACTGTACAGTTGTATACAGTATTCTCTCATTCCATCAGGGTTGTGAAAACTCATAAACTCATCATGGTGAATAATTAGGATGCTCTGAATGCATGAGATAAGTGATCTTTTGGTGGGGGTGCTGAGACTGTATTATATACCTCATGAGTTTTCACATATCATCACCATTGCTCTTTACATTTGTCTGAAGGCAGAAGCAGACGCAACTTGTGACGTCATTCACAGATAATATGTTGACTGCCCGACAAGAAAAAATAAAACACTGGATTTGTTCTATGCAAAAGCTAAGGAATCATATACTTCTATTGCTCTTCCACTTTTAGGTCGGGCAGACCATAATCTGGTCTTCCTTCAGCCCACATTCAAACCATGTGTAAAGAGAATGCCCCTTACCACCAGATCATTCAGGAAATGGTCAAGCAAGGACATTGAGTCTCTCCAGGACTGCTTTGTTTACAAAGACTGGGATGTGTTGTTGAGGTCACAGAGCTCTTGCACAGACATGGACCTAGACAGGAAAGTGGATACTATAACAGATTCCATCAGTTTTTTGTAGAGACACTGTTATTTTTGTCAGGGCAGTCCACTGCTATCCTAACAATAAACCATGGATCACAAGCAGTGCGCAATGTATACTGAACCAAAAGAAGCTAGCTTTCAAAGAGAGGCACAAACTCAGACCAGTCCAAAAGAGGCTTAAAAAGATGCTACGGTGGGCTAGAAGGAACTATAAAAATAGTAGGTGATGTGAGCAGGGCAAATGAACTGGACCGATTCTTTAATAGGTTTAATTCCCCTCTCACTGCTGTGTCTACTCCAGTAACACTACATGGTGGCGCTATCTCTCCTCTGCTTGAAGTTCCACACAAATCTATGACCGCTGTCCCTATAACATCCACAGCCCCCCTTTCCATCAGTGCTGCCGAGGACCTGCAAGTAAATCCAGGGGTCCCAGGTATGGAACAAGGAGGTGAGGACAGAGCTTTAAAGGCTGTGCCCAGGTAAAGATCCAGGTTCGGATGGTGTGTGTCCCAGACTACTCAAAGACGGTGAGTTGGCTCCACCACTGCACAGGATCTTCCACCAACATCTGGAAATGGGGAGAGTCCTGATGCTTTGGAAAACATCCTGTTTTAATCCAATACCTAAAGTTGCTCTTCTGGCAGAGATGAATGACTACAGATCAAGAGCACTTACCTCACACATTGTGAAGCCTCTGGAGCGGCTTGTTCTGTGCCTCAATAAACCAGAGGTGGAACTTGGAATGGATCCTTTTCAGGCTGCTATCATCTACATGCTCCACTGGATCTATAAATATCTGGAGACACCTGGCGCCTTTGTGAGGGTGATGTTTTCTTGACTTTTCGAGTGCATTCAACACCATTCAGCCCTCCATGCTGAAGGAGAAGTTCGATGTCCTGGGGCTGGATTCATCACTCAGCGGACTACTTGACTGGATGAGCACAGTTTGTCAGGCTGGGCGACTGTGTGTCTGCTACTGTATTGAGCAGCACAGGAGGACCAAAGGGTACAGTGCTGGTGCCATTTCTGTATACACTGTACACTATTGACTTTAAGTACAAGTCTGAGTCCTGTCACATCCAAAAGTATTCAGATGATACAGCTGTAGTGGCATGTAATGGACAGGAGGGAGAATACACCAACCTCATCAACAGCTTCAGCCAGTGGTCTTGGGACAACTATCTCATCGTGAATACAGCCAAAATGAAGGAGATGGTCTTCGACTTCAGGAGGACAAAGTCGACTCCTCCGCGTTTCAGCATTCGGAGAGAGAACATTGAGGCTGTGAGGACCAACAAATATCTGGGGGTGCTCTTGGATGACAAATTGGACTAGACTCCAAACGCATATGCCCTTTATAAAAGAGGTCAGGGCCGCCTCTGCTTCCTTCGGAGGCTGAGGGCATTTGATGTTTATGGGGAGCTGCTCTTGATGTTTTACCACACGATTATGGCCAGTGTCCTTTTTTATGGGGTGGTGTGCTGGGGCAACAGTCTGGCCGATAAGAACAGCAGGAATCTGCAGAAGCTGATGAAGAAGGCCAGCTCTGTGACTGGGAGGGCAATGGAGTCCCTCAGCACAGTGGCGGAGGGACGCATCAGAAACAGACTGGAGGCCATATTGGACACCTGCTCCCACCCCGTCCACAGGTATCCTGGTTGCACAGAGGAGCAGCACTGGCAGACGGGTCCTCTCACTCCATTGTAGGGTTGAAAGGTTTAAGAGGTAAGTCTTTTTTTAAGTAAGTAAATCTATTTATATAGTGTGTTTCACAGACATATGTCACAAAGACACTTTACAGAGCATTATTCATTCACTCCATACCCAGTCTTAGTAAGCTACTACTGTAGCCACAGCTGCTCTGGGGCAGACTGACAGAAGCACGGCTGCCAGCCAGTCAGCACTATCAGTCCCTCCAACCACTAGCATCACTCACACACACCACTTTCATTCTAGGCAATAGGGGTGAAGTGCCTTGCCAAGGACACAACAACAGTTTTGCAACTGGCACCCCCCTGTGGCACATGATTTTCCCAGTGGTCTCCCATCCAAACACTAACCAGCTTCTGAGATCTGATGGGATCAGGCTTTGACAAGACGGTATGGCCACACTGAAGAAGTCCTTTGTGACCTCACTTGTCACCCTGCAGAACTACAACTTTACACATCCAGACTTTGCATGTCTTGCACAAATTTTTAATGACTATTTTTTTTGCTATTTTTGAGTCTTTTAACAGTTTTAACGTGTTATGGAATGTGTGAATATGAGCTGTATGGACACCTGAATTTCCCCTTCTGGGGATCAATAAAGTATTTATCTATCTTCCAGTGGTGTGCTGTCAAGGGACTCAAGGCAAGCAGTTGTTGCCCAATTAAATCTAAAATCATTGCGTGACAAAAGTTTAATTAAATAATTTTGAACTATATCCAAATAATACTGTTTTCCCTTCACTTCTGTCTGTGTGAAATATCAATAACCGTGGTTCCAAACACCCCTTAACTTGTTTTTTTAATTCTTTCTACGGCGGCCAGGAGGCACATGATAGCGCGGCTTTCCACCCCATGCATTCTACAGACGCTCTGACAACCAGAGAGGCAAGCTAGTTATTTTCGAGGTTTACACATTCGTACTGACGACCACAGCGGGCTCAGCGCAGAATAAATCCATCATCCACAGGAATCTGATGGGAACTGGAGATGTGAAGCGGTTTCTAGTAGGTGCGCATGTGCGGCAGGAGACGACAACAGCAGATTTGATGTTAGTTAGAAATACAAGCCATCATTCAATCAAACAGTGCGCTAGTTTCAGGGCTAGTTTGTGTGAAATGGAGGATCCGGACAGAGCAGTGGAGGTAGAGCGGTTGGGGCAGCGGGGAGTCCGCCTCATCTTTGTGTGTTTATGAAGGAGTGACATTTTCCATGGAATAACAGCACTATTACACACGTGTGGAGGAACCTGCTCTGTTCTAGACCTGCTCTGCTTCAGGGAAATACAGGACATGGAAAGATGTGGTTTTGAATCTGTGAAAGCTCTGTTCTAAGGCAGGGCCGTGTTTAAGGGGGCATCTGTGACACATCAGGCTGTGTAATAAGTGCACCTGTCTGACCAGTGCACTGTTGTTGTTAGTATCTCTTCATTATCTTCATGGCTGTTAATTATGTATAGCAAGTGCATTACACATGTGTAGAGCTGTCATATGTCATTCATATGGTTTCCAGATACATTATAATAATTACATAAATAAGAGCAGTCCTGAAGGCTCAGCTGCATAAATATGGTGTAGGAGTAGAAACAAATAGCCCTGTTTGCACAAAGAGAGTGTCACATACAGTCCAATAAACAAATATTAATAAACTATATGGTCTAGGTCTCTCTAATTTGACTCCAGAAGGGCTCAGTATACATGCAATTAATGTGAGTAAAAATAAATATACTCTTTTGAAATGTAGTTTCATTAAAAGTGGCATTATTAAAGCGTTATTGTGTAAATGTTGTTGTCCACCCAAAGTCTACTTGCCTACCCATAAAAGTCACTTCATGCTGCTGCTATCTTCTATCTAAAAATGTCTGAGCTGCTTATGTCTCGGTCAACAATCGCCACAGCATACAATATTGAATGTATTTTTGGTGCATGTTTTCAGTTACTTCTCAACAGTGGCGGGAGGGGGCCTGTTTATCGTGCAATGTGCTAAAATGAAAAATTACATAATATTTTGTGTGTGTTGCTATAAAAATTTGAAGTTTTTTTTTTGCTGCTACAAGTACAATACAAAAAGTTTCAAGTACATAGATTGTATAAAGAAGTGGACTCCAGTCAAATGAAGCTCACCGAAGCTTGCAGTTATAGGGGAGAATTTGGAGCCAAGTTCCATATTAGGAATAGGAATTGATTTATGGACAAAATAGCAAAATAAAAACACAAGGATCATGTAGAAAGGGTTAACACGAACATTTTAACACCAAAAGAGCCTGACAGAAGCAGTTACAGAGAGAGGGGCAATATTTTTTCAATACAAATTAAATTGGAGCCAGAGTTGATGGAGCCGGAAGCACGTCCATGTTCACTTCCTATTTGGAATATGGTGGCTAGCGGGTTAGCTATGTCCATTTATATATATAGTCTATGGTTAAGACATTCAGTCATTTTTAATTGCCAGTGGTATTCTCGGGCCTTTTTCCACAGCTAAATCCTCTGTTAAAAAAGGCTGAAATTTTGAGGCCCCTGGGCAAGAAGCCTCACACGCACCCCTTTAATATAAATTAAAAGGGAGGATCCAATTCTGGGTCCCTAAAACTCTGGGGCTCAGTTAACAGTTAACAGACCCCTTTGCACCCTTTTCCCTGTCTACTGCCCTGCTTGCTGAATTGTTGGTGTCTTCTGCTTTCTGGTTTTTTTTTGTTTTGTTTTTTTTTTTATATATAACTAAATATATTTAAATGTGAATGGGCCCTGAATACTTTGCACTGAAAATGTGGGGATCCATCTCCAAGGTCAAAAAAAGGTTAAGAACGGCTGAATAGACTGACTAGGCTCTGTTAGTGTGATTACTTCCTGTCCAATTGTGAATCTATGGGGTTTTTACTGAGTCATGCTAAAATTAATATAGATTTAAAGATAAGGCAGTGATCAGGTAGCTGTGGATGGATGTCACTGACAGCATGATAAAAGTACACAAATAAATAGAATTCTGAACACTTCTGCTTTTAGATGTTTCAATACTAACACAAATGGTAAATTTGAGGCATAATAAATAATAATAAACAATACCAAAAACTGAAGTATTCTACGCATAGAAACAACCAGGCAGTCTGGACTTTAATTAATTAGAATTTTAATTGGTTGTTTATTTTATTTATATGAAATATCCAGAAGGTAAATGCCCAAATGTTAACTCTGATGATTTCTAACAGTGACTGAATCCAACAGTTAGATGATGCATTTGTTTGTAGGAAATGAGAAGAAATCAGATTATGACACTGCAGTTTATTAAGCATCAATCACACCATAGTTGTTTTCTAATACATAAACAACAACATTTGGAGCTGGAGCCAGGTTCTTTGCAGTGCCCACTGTCTATGTGGTGGCGGGAGGGGCGGCGGTGGTGGTGGTGGTGGTGGCGGGAGCGGCGGTGGTGGTGGTGGTGGTGGTGGTGGCCAGTGTTGCCAACAGATCAACCAAGGCCTGTAAGAGGGTGGGATCAATATCCCCAGTTGCCTCGCTGTCCCCGCTGTCTTCCTATAAGAGATGGACAACATTCTGAGTGGTACAAGAACAAATAATTAACTTGTTAAGCTAACTAACTTAGCTAACTGAAAGGACTACTCTGTCAGAGAGGTTGGAGAGCTCCTGGTAGTTCCTGAGCAACAGGTGGAGATGTCTTCTTTAACACAGTCTGACTGGAAAGAGCTGACTTGATTAAAACTACAATAGGTGAGCTGATTCGTGCGCTCACATCATGGATCTATAATAAGAACTGGATAAGACACTCCCCCTCTGTCCACGAGCGAGATCGACTAGTGGCCGCTCCAGGTACTGCAGCTCCCAGGAGCTCCGACCCAGAAAGAATTCTCCCATAGAAAACAGCATCAAACTGACCGTGTTTGGCTGACAGGGCATCTACAGCTTGAATATAGGTTGGATTTTGTGGGATCTTTATTATTTTTACATTATATTTTATTTTAATTGTCAAAGCATCTAAAAGTTAGCTTTGTAAGATTTTGTGCTAACTGCGCTTTAGCAGCTAGTGCTCTGATTGGTCAGAACTTCATGTTTCTGACGTCACACGTTTTGCTGGCACAATGCGCCAATGAGCACAGGCCACTAAAAACAATACAGCATCATCTTGAGTTCATCTTCCAGATCTTATTATACTTCAGTGTCTCATAAAATCACAGCCATGAGCTACTTAGCATTAGCCAACAGTTTTTCAGTTCAAACCTAAACAGGACCTTGAACATTTGTATATTTTCACTATCTTAAAACTTTTTTGTGAGTGTTTACCACTGTGTGCATTGTGTCATCACGGTAACTGCTGAACATTCTGCCATAAACAAACATGCAGAACACCACCAGCATGATTTCACTGCAAAGTATCATTAGTAAGAGATGAAGGACAGTGTGAGTGGTACAGGAATAAAGGTTTATGTCTTACACTGGAGGCCAGAGCCACAGACAGGAGACATCCCAGAATAAACACAGCCTTCAGCATGGTTACACACCTGAAAAACAAATGAAACCTTGTACTGTACAGTGCACGATGGAACTTTTTGGTTGGGGGTCTGCCACCTGCTTGTTTCTATGGATATATCATTGTTCTGCGTGGAATGTTCCACAGTATGACATTAAACAGCTCTGCCTTACATGTATTCAGTTACAGGTGGTTTTATAGCTCAAAAATAACTTTAAAAAAAAGCAGTCATTCTGACTGTGGCAGGGGTCACCTCTCCACAGATCTGACCTGTAACTTGGTCTGGTTTGGTCTCCATGAAGATGGAAAGGTTTAATACCATACTGTGAAACATTCCAGATAAAGTAATAACATCTACATGGAGAAAAGCATTTGACCCTCCACCAGAAAAGTTACACAATGCACCTTTAATGTGCAAAGTTCAAAACAGATGTGTCATTTAGGTAATCTTGTTATAGTAGTTATTTAATATGTGTAGTATTAGTTATTGAATACTACACCAGCTGCAAAGTGTATAATAGTTTCACTGTATGTTAAAAATAAAACCTCTATAATTCTGCATCAAATAAAGTCTCCTCTAATACAAGCAAATACACATTGTAAATGATATCAAATAATAAATATAAATAAATAAAATACCAGTAGTCTTCTCAGTGGATTCCAGTAGAGTAGAGGTGGGTAGAGGTGAGTGATGTCAGTGGAGGCACAGTCCCTTTTTAAAGCAATATCCAGCTCCCATCAGCCAATCAGGTGAGTACGATTGGACATTGCGCTATTCAGAGGAACTGTTGTAATTGGAGAATAATCCTAAATTACTTCACAAATGATGTTGGCTCACTATATTTTATCAATGTTTAATAAGTTCATAATAAAGCCTCCAAGATTAGCAATGAGCTAATGATGTCTTTGTCACAAATTCTGAAATAATAGAAACAAACTCAACATAAACAGAAATAATTGACAGTCACTTTAAATGGGGCTCTGTATCAGTTTGTGCTGGTTTGTGAGGAGTCAGCAGACATCATGCAGTCTTTAAGTCATTGTTCACATCAGTTTGTCTCTGTCCAGTGGCCTCTTTTAACTCATAGTTGTAGTAATCTTGGTGTTCGTCCCCAGAGGAGTTTCCGTGGTCAGTCCTCTTTGTCAAAGCCTGATCTCGTCAGATCTCAGAAGCTAAGTAGAGCTGGACCCGGTCAGTACGTGGATGGGAGACCACTGGGAGTACCAGGTGCCACAGTGGGTGTTCAGTGGCAAAAAATGCTCTTGTGTCCTTAGGCAAGACACTCCACCCATATTTTGTAGTAAGAAAGTGGTGTGTGCGCGGGAGCGTGTGTGTGTGTGTGTGAGTGTTGGTAGTGGTCGTAGTGGCTGATGGTGCAGACTGTATACCTGTGAGTGTGTAGACCTGACTGGTGTGCCTCCAACCAAACAGATGACCACTGTTCAAGGGCACGTGTAGAGAGAACAGTGTTAACATAGGAGGTACTGTATACAACTGTATACTGTACAGTATTCTTTCAATTTTTATTTAAAAAGAAAAAATGTGTGCTCCTCACCTTCCACGGTGGTTGGTCTCTCACCCTCATCCAGCTCGGGTCCTCTACCAGAGGCCTGGGAGCTTGAGAGTTCTGTACAGTATCTTTGTTGTTCCTAGTACTGCACTTTTCTGGACTATGTCTGAAGTTTTTCCTGTATTTGCTGTAGCCTCCTCCAGTTTGGGGGTTACAGCCCCAAATGCTCTGATCACCAAGGGCACCACTGATGCCTTCACCTTCCAGGCTTTCTCCAGCTCCTCCTTGAGCCCTTGGTATTTCTCTCCTTTCTGGTGCTACTTTTTCCTGATATTACCATCGCTTGGTATTGCAGTGTCTACCACCACGGCTCTGCTCTGTTCTGATCCACCACCACTATGTCTGGTTGGTTTGCCATCAACATAATGTCAGTCTGTATCTGGAAGTCCCATAGGATCTTGGCTCACTCGTTCTACACAACCTTTGGAGGTGTTTCTCACCTTGGCCTCGGGGTCTCCAGCCCGTACTCTGCACAGATGTTTCTGTACACTAGGCCCGCCACTTGGTTATGTCGCTCCATGTTTGCTTTGCCTGCAGCATCTTACACCCTGCAGTTATGTGCTGGACTGTCTCAGGAGCCTCTTTGCACAGTCTACACTGTGGCTCTTGTCTGGTGTGATAGATCTGGGCCTCTATTGCTCAGGTACTCGGGGCCTGCTCCTGTGCAGCCAAGATGAGTGCCTCTGTGTGTCCTTCAGGCCAGCCCTCTCAAACCATTGGTAGGATTTCTTAATATTAGCCACTTCAGTTATGTTCTGGTGGTTCGCCCCGTGCAGGGGCTTGTCCTGGCATGATGGTCCCTCCAGCACCTCTTCTTCTGAACCCCACTGTCTGAAATATTGTCTGAGCATGTCATAAATACACACACGAACACGCACCTACACACACGCGCACACACACACAGCATTTATACAGCACTTTTAAACATGAGCAAACAAAACGACTTCAAGTATGATTTTGATGTTATAACCTGGTTAAAAACTTAAATCCATTTTGCTTTAGTTGATATTGGACTGTAAACCTGAGTTCACATTTCTCCTCTTTCATGTTGCTGATGCAGCTGTGTACTTGTGTTGTTATGGCGACTCTGCTGTGAATCATGGGCTGTTTGTGCGGTTGTGTGCTGTGGTTTGACCTTGACTTCTTTGTTGCCATGTGTTCAATTGTCAGGCTCCCGTGTGCCCTTGTACATGTGGTTGCCATGGTAGGGGCGGCAGCGTGTAGGCTGATTGGCTGAAGGGGGGGCTATGTTTCCGCCGATCAATGACACCAACTCACCTTTCTATTTATGGATGAGACTTGATGCAGTAGTTTCCATCTAAAAATGTCTGAGCTGCAACAACAACAGTTGCCACAGCAAAAGAGCTGCATAATTAATCATTAATCTTTACTCCACACAACCCTTTGTCTTAAGATTTCTTAACTCCCTGAACACTGCTGCCTCCACTCCTCAGTACAGTGCAGTGCATTAACACTCTTAATGATGCCATTAAGAGTGTTAAGTATTTATGACCTTGGAAGGACACTGCAGTCTGACCTCTGGAGTACCAGGAGACTATTGTCCCTCTAACAAACAAAGACATGACACTATGGTGTGGGGTCAGAACTTAATTCTTCCCCACAGTGTACAGTAGGTGTACACAGTGAGTAGTCATATTGTATGCATTATTGAGCAACTGTATTCAATAATGTAGTTCATGTATATTTTACTTTTAGACATTCAGATGCTTTATAGTGCATTTTTCATTCACTCTGCACTCAGTGATAGTAAGCTACTTCCGTAGCCACAGTTGCCCTGGGGCAAGAAGTGAGGCTGCCAATCTGTGCCATCAGTCCCTATGATCGCCACCATACTAGACAATGTGGGTCAAGGACACAGCAACTTATTTGTAGTTGTCAGTTTGTCTTTTGTTTTGTTCTGTGAGAATAATGTGTGTTATGCCCTTGTGCAGTTATTAGGTAAAAACTTGCTGAGATTACAAATCACTTTTGTAAGAGTGTCTTGACCCTGAGGCAGCGGCGTAATGATGACGTAACATAATGTACCCAGCTGAACTCCCTTTAACCTCAGTTTTGACCTCTACAGTTTTGACCTCTACAATCTGTCTGTTAAAGCACAGAGACAGCATACAGAGGAAAGTGCTCACCACTCTGCTCCTTTCAGTGTATCTGGACCAAAGTCAGGCCGAGGTCGGACCCATTTTATGCTGAACTAGCTCAGAAATTCTGATAGAGTCATAAAGTTGTATAACAGGGCAAGAAAAACTATTTTAAGCAATAATAAGGGATATGGGTCTCTAGGAAATTGTTTTTTAGACTATGATTTTTATGATTTAGTTAAAGGTTCTATATCACACAAAGTTGGCATCATGTTAGAATGTAACCCTTTATTATTAGTCTTTCTACTTCTCCAAAGCTCAAAATGCTTTGTTCCACCCAGTGATGTCATGCGACAGTGGTATATAATAATAGAGATTGGATTAGAGATTAGAGTTCCAAGGCTGAAATCATCCAAATGATGTGAAGGTGAGTTTAAAAACACAGTAGAGCACTTCCTGTATTATCACATGACAACACAGAGTGTTTTCTGTTTGAGAGAAGAACTCATCATAAATAAACAGGATTTGCGTGTTAAATATGTGTGAACGAAACAAAACACAACTCCAAGTATATTTTTGATGAGGAAATAGAAATAATATTGATAAAAAAATAGTGTAATATGGGCCCTCTATAGGGCCAAAGTGCAACAACAAAACTGCTCATGCGAGTTTAACCCAGCTGTGTGTACCTGCCAATGCCACAAGGACTTTTACCCTACCATACAATGCACCTACCTATAAAGGGATAAGCAAATCCCTAGCCAGACATCTACAAGCCACCTCCACCATAGCATATCAAAACAGGCTAGCTCTTGGGACTTCCGGTATGGTGGAGAGACTAGCAGCAGCTTAATTTAACACCTCCCAGCGGGTCTAACTTTCCCCTATGCTTCTTCGATTATTTAGCTTTCAGAAAAGTTTTTAACAAGTATGCCAGGGGGAAGTAAAAGAAAGACAAGAGGTTACGCGCAAGTTTACATGGAAGAAGAATCATTATCACCGAATGAAAGTGACGGCGATGCAGGCGATAGTAGCAAGCTAACTGAACATAGCCAACAAGTCACTAACAAGCTAGCCAGCAACGATAGCATGGAAGCTATCAGAGTCAGTATAATCGCTGAAATATAGAAAGTACGGTTGGATGTCCAGGAAGTCAACGATAAAGCTGGACAACTTAAAAAAGACCTCTCTGATTTTAGAGGAGAGATGAACTCTCGAGTTAGTGCCGTGGAAAGGAACGTAAACCAAATGAACGACAGAATGGGAGAAGCGGAACAACGAGTCTCAGAGATGGAGGAATTCAGCGCGGACATGAGACGCGTTATCCTACACACTTGAACTACAGGAGCAGCTCCAAACACGGCTTGTAGATTTAGAAACGCGCTCCCGTCGTAACAACATAAGAATCCACGGCATACAAGAGGGAGCAGAAGGGAACAATATGATGGGATTCATTGAGAACTTCATCAAAACAGAGTTATCACTTCCCGACACCGCTTTAGGGATACAGCGATGCCATCACTCTGCTACCACCCAGCCTCCTGGAGAAGCCAATCCTCGATCCATAGTGTTGTGCTTTCTGGAGTTCAGAACCAAAGAACTTGTGTTAGATCTGCATGGAACAAAAAAGTCATTCAATTCAGAGAAAGACGGGTTTTCTTTGAGCACGATTACACTAGCGACACTCTGGCAAAGACAAAAGCATATGCCCCCATCAGAAGAGAGCTAAAGGAAAAAAGTTTGCGTTTTCAGACGCTACACCCGGCACGGCTCCGTGTTTACCGCCAAACCGGTCCAGTGGTCTACAACAGCGCGGGGGATGCTGCAGAAGACCTAAAGAAAAAAGGAGTGATAGGAGACATCGCGATCCACGCAACAATGCCAAGGAGACCCACTGGCGCAAAGATGACCAAACCACCGTGGCAACACGCTGGCGCATCGCGACGTCAACATGAGACGAGGATTAAAAGCATTCAGGAAAGATTAAAAGAATTTCGACGAGACGGTGGC